ATAATATATCATTTCGAAATATTAAAATGATTTGACATAATAATACAATGATGATTGATGATACAGTAATAATATATTATTATTTATGAATAGGTAAAGTTAATTCATGTGATATTACTTATAGTGAAAAATTTGATTTACTCTTTTATTATGTTAAAGGTATCTAAAAATTAATATTATTTGAAAAATACCATTTACTATATTTTAAGATAAAGCAATAATTTAGGAAATAATATTATGATACAATATGCAAAATTGTATTATAATAAATGTTATTTGTTTAAAGATAAAGCTTACAGAAAACTCAATTATTATATTTTATCTTTACCAAAACTACTATATGATGGTAAAATCCATAAATTTCGTTATTTGAAACGTAATATGTTCTCATTAACAGCGATAAACGTTCATACGAGATTTCTATATTGTATCTTTTCGTTTCACGCTGATATTTTTTATGAATATAAACAGAAAATTATGTACTTAATTTTAATATATTTGTTTTATCCAGTATTAATTGCATCATATGCGACTTTTCATGGGAATTCTTAAAGTATTTCCGATCTATGTTATTAATTGGCTATACTGATGAAGATTCGGGAGTATTTACCTACCTACTTTTATAGCAACTATTTATTACGTGTGAATTATCATTAAACAGCACATTTATAATCTGATAAACCTATAATGAGTTATAACTTATATTACAGTGATAACTTGAAATTTAAGTATACATTTTCTCAAATATTTAACTCCTTCATCGTTTTCGACTTATTAAAGAAAACTCAACATTCCTTAAAAACATTTTACTATGTGTACTTAATATATAAATTATATATTACAATATAGCACAATGTATAATACGTCTTGAACACAAAGTATTTACATATTACTTAATCTATTATTAAATGTAGTTTTAATCTGATAATTATGAATTTGGTTCATGACAACTATAATACTTGATACAACATGTAATATTAAAATATAAAATGAAATTAAGTACCTATTGAATAACGTATAGATAATTTCTTATAGAAATAAATTATTATATTAAATCGTTTTATTTTTTTCTAAAATTAAATCAAAAATATTCGATTATTCTTATAATTATATTTTTATTTTTAACTACTCATATCATTCAATATCTGTATCATAAATAATGATTGAAAAACTGTATATTAAACAAAAATTAGGTTACGGTTTCACAACAACAAAAAATCAATATAGGTACAGCTTAAATATCAACGATTTTATTTTTTTTTATAAAAGTTTGTACGACGATCTTTAGTGTTATAAGAGTGCTTATGTTTTAACCTTTATTTTTCATTATACAATGTCTAAAAATTTTATTTCCATAAAACTGGTGTATAGGAAATCATAAACAATTTGTTGGAATCTCTAATTATAAATTTTAAAATAATTACTTTGAACGCAAATTATTATATTTTAAAAATAATTTTAAATATCAATTTTTTTTTAAAAGTATTTTCTTAGGAATTCAACATGCTGTATTTTATCATATTAAATGTATAGAAAATATATTGAAAATATTAGATAACCTAGACAAAAGTAACTTAACAAGAAGGTATTTATGGTTAAAACTGAAACAAACAAATGTTTATAATATAATTATAGGCAATAGGCTATACTTATGTTATATGGAAGTACAGTCAATGAAATCATAATTGTATTGAAAATATTAATTTTCATATATAGGTTTATGTCAAAAAAATAGATTTTAAAAGGAAAAAGAATATAGGTTATTTTTATAATCTATAATAAAATCACATCTTTGGTATTTTTTAGTATGATATGGTTAGTATTGGTTTAAGAAATATTATTTAACACATACATTATAATTTATATTCTATAAAGACTCGATGAATTGTATAAATTCTACTATTTTGGTCCCAGCATTCATAATATTATTAATTGTGTAATATACGAGTATGCATATGAAATAAGTAAGTTCAAGCATAAACCTCATGTTTAATGTTGGTACGTAAAATCGATGATAATTCAATATAAATCCACAAACCTACAACAATTAAATGCACATAGTCATATAGGATAATATTTTAAACAAATCATATTATATTTAACTGTGTCAAAGAAATAAAATATAGTTAAAAAACTAATCATTTTATAGGAAGATCRGATGGATAAAAATATAAATTCATGGTAGGTAATATTATAGATTTTTTATTTTTTATTTATAAGTATAAAATTCTTAAAAATAAACAATTTAGCACTTTTAAATATAATCTACAAATACTACATTTTTGGGTTTACATTGCTGAAACATGTTTTCACTCTTGTATTGACATTACTGAATGATTCGTTTTTAATTTCACATATTGTCTTAGATTTGGATACAATCATGTACGTTGTAAACATGAGCAGGAAGGCTCTTGAAAGAAAATTGAAACGAATTGTTAAAAACACCGAAAACCCTAAGGAATAACAAAATACAGGGATTTGTCTTTTACACTCGGGCGATAATAATTCATTGTTAGTGTACATCGACACTGGGAGAATGACCGAGTTAATTGCAAACTTAAACACCGATATATAGTAAATAAATAAAATCATTGTCACGGCTTAGGTTGGGATGTTCTGGAATAGAAAATACAAATAACAAAAAAACACTAACTTAAGTATTAACGGACGGACAAGATATTTGGGAATTGGATTATTTGGTTATAAAATGTCAATCTTTTAAATGATAGGTAATAGATAAAACTATGTGAAACAATGTCAATTTCAAGTCTTCCATTCTGAATTCTAATGCTTTATTTGTGTACATTTATAAATATATATTACATAAGATATATAATCTGTAGTTATTATAGTCCCCGAATTAGTTCTAGACCCTAAAATAATTAAATGTATCAATTTTTGACCAAAACTATACACTTGTAACAATTTTATGAAGTAACCTATTTTGATTTTTAGGAATAAAAATGAAACTATTTACGATAAATATAATGTACAAACTTAACGGAATTCTTGACATGTTTTGAATAAATACAATTTCGTACAATCAATATGAATGGTTTTTAACAATTTAGTTTAAATGATTTGAATAATATTTTAACAGTTAATTGTAAAAGATTATACTTATAGAATAATATTATAAACATTAAAAAGGTACTATTAAAAGTTTTCAACTAAAAACCAAATTAAGGTTTAACGGAAGTATAATATTATAATAATGATACATGATTAGATTAAAGCATTAGAGATATTAAACATAATAAAAKAAACTGTATTTTATTTGTCACAAATTTATTTTGATTTGAGTGTAAAAGTAAAATTTCACTTTTTTATAATTGTTCTGTTTTTTTTTAATTTTAAATTTGACGATTAAACTGATATAAATTTCGATCACAATGGCCCATGTAATAACTTATTTTTCAAACAGAATTTAAAAATGGTCAACATGATAAATAACATAATAATCAMGTTTATTTTAGTTTTTTATATTATAGAAATAATGACAATTACCTAACTCTAAATGCATTGTTTTATTTATATCTAAATAATAAATGAATAGTTTCTATAGGAAGCTATTTGTTCGTAAAAGAGTCGATTAATTATTAGAAATTCAAGTCCCTCTTAACCTGCACTCTAAAAAATATATTTATACCGTACGAATAATTTTGATGGTTACCTATCGGACTTAACACTTAGGCATCTGGTACATTAAAGTGATAACTCTCTACCTTCCTCCGCTGTCTTCTTTAACTCTCGTCACATACTCACGTCCAAACACTTAAAATCTTTTAATCATTGATACCAATGTTCATAAATCAGAATGATATATCTATTTTACATTCACGAGAATACTCGTTAAACGAGTAGAATATTAATTTAACTTTTAGGTATATTTTAACTGAATTATTTCTGTTATATTCACGAAAATAATAAAACAATTAATAATCAATGAACGCGCAGGGTACATAATATATGAACACGGACTTATGCGTAYGAGTTTAATTCACGATGTAATAACATTTCAAAACGTCATAAAAAAAAACATTCAAAACCCAGTTTAATAAAATAACACGCACCCTAGAACAATTATTGTTATGATACATTATRCGTGATTAAATTTAGGTTCACGGAATAAATTTAGTAGGACATTTTGTTACCATAATCCAAATCATGCATGRCAAAACTAGAATTATTCTAAAAACCTTTAACCAAATTTAAATGTTAAGTACAAATGTACAATAAAAGTAGGTACCAATAGTGACTGTTTACTTGGACCATTTTATGATATCATAGTTAAAAAACAAAATCAGCAGAAATAATTTAATTGAATGATGTTTTTTATTAGTTTTATGTTTAATTTTATGCGATATACAAACAATTATTTATCCAAATGCGAGTAGTTTAGTTCAGACATAACAATAACGAGTAAACTAAATACTWATATAACTAATTTAAATATACAATGCAATATACATTAAGGGAATTAACCGTTTGCTGTAAGATCTTTATGATGACTATGATTAACTTGTTTGTTAGGTGATTTTACTATTATTTTCACACATTTGAATTTTGAATCAAATTGAGTATTGAATAGTCATTGTGAAATATAWATTAGAAATTTAAGTATGTTTTAAATATTACCTATACATAGTATCAACTGTAACAATAGTATATTTTATAATTAATACGTTTAACATAATGAAATATCAGAAGAGACAATACTTTTATTTCAATTATAATAATATTAAAGCGAATCATACAGTTTCTTTTAGATTTTAATTAAGTAGATATGATATGTATAATATTTATAATGGGCACAACAATGTTCTCATACAATATGTTATCTATGCATATTTGTAATTTTTTTTTTTTAATAATTATTAAATTAAAAATTATGAATATTGCACTGTGTTATTCTTATTTTATAATATGAAATTAAATATTTTAATAATATTATCAATCGAAATGTATTAAATAATTTAAATTCAAAGATAAATCAAGTTGTCGGTTGATCTACGAAACGCATTCAAATATTTTAAGTGTTTCAATTCGTTAAACGTGTATTGGGCACCAAACTTTTAAGTGAAGCAGAGAACAAAGATTTCATAAGAGACGAAACTACTTCAATYATTAAAAAGTGAATTTCTAAGACAAAAATAATAATAACAATAATAGAGCGAAAACGAAGGAGAACAGCTAACAAAATATCATATGTATATATGAGCTCATGATGCATTTAAACACAATGATAGGTACACTAACGTTCGATGTAGGAATAATAAGAAGTTAGTTTTCTCGGTGAGCGTTCACCCGTGAATTGTGAAACAGGCTGGGAATCGGGGATAGGTATATTATTATACGGTTTTGGATTAAAAAAAATCGTTCTGAGGGAAGGAATGTAAAACGTTTATAGTGACTTATATTCGTTAAATTACACTTAAAGTTTCACAGGGTATCACACCGTTTTTATTTGTATCTTATATGTATTACCCACCATACAACAATACATTATACTCCTCTACACACCGCATGTATTAACTTTRAAACTCTCTTAACTATTTCAAATGTTTAAAGAATGAAAATTAGTAATTCTACTTTTAAAATATTTACAGTCAACTTTTACGAAACACGGTTTCTAAAGTTTAAAAATACAGTACAAATATAAGAAATTATGATAGCTGTAACTCAGTAATGCAATAATAACAGTTCAAAATCATAATTCAAAAATWTAAATTAGGAAAAGAGATGTTATCTACGGGAACAACCACGGTGAGACATACGCTATAAATATTCTATAATGCGCTCATAAATTATAAATGATAAGTTATAAATTATTATTCCTATGCGTCTACGTGGTTTCGTATCTGTGGTATAACATAACGGTAAAATTTGACAATGATCGAAACAATTCGACGGCATATGGGAACTATAGTGCACATGAAACAAATGCTGTACTTAGGYAGGTAACTAACAATATGAATGCGAACGAAATAACCTTGCGTAACGCAACGATCGTAATATGTTGAATACAAATGACACTGATAAGAGTGATTTTACCACTTATAGGCAAACGCTATATTATACGCACAACGTAGTAGGTATGTTATWATAATATTTTTTAGATATCTTATCCATGATCTATTCGATTAAGAGTTGGTGTTCCTTATAACTTTACCATAACGCTGCAAATTATGATATGATCATGATGGAAGATCATCACCACCCCAGCCGTAAACGAGAGTTCTGCGTTTTACACTGTAGGTATTTAAGGCGAAATAATATACTTTTAAAATAATTTTATAATACATCTATTATCTATATACATATAACCGTAATTAATAAATATCGATTATCAATACAATGTGGTTACTTGTCACTCGTTAATAATGACTATAGATGTATATTATTAGAATTCATTGTTAGATTTGGTTGGATTTGGTCTAACCTAATGTTGAGAAAAAAAAACCAAATTATTGTATTTTAAAACGGCAAATGCATTCAAATGTTGCACGTCGAGTTCCTACTTACATTGTGGCCACGGTCAGCTAGATGCACATGTGTTCGACTGCAACAAGTCACAACCGCCTTTGTAGACGACCGTCGTCCGAGGCATTGCATTGGGTCTTTGCGCTGGGGATAGACGTTGGGGGAGGGAATTGGGGCTGAAGAATGGTCGGGGTAAGGGTGGCTCATCGTGGCGGTCAACACGTCTACAAGGCCACGTCACATCCACCGCCGTCGACGGGTTGTGTGACGCTGATGTGTATGGCGCTGTACGGCAGTATGCTGGTGATAGTCATGCGGCGGCTGCCATGGTGGCCGTGGGCACAACCACACAGCGCCGTGGTGGCCGTATGCTATTTGAACCGGAGCGCGCACTGCTGGAACACCAGTACGGCCACGACGGCGGCGAGCACTACGGCGCCGGCCGCGTACACGAGCGCCAGATGCACGAGGCTGGTGACGTACAGCGTCCGGTTGCACCACACGTTCGGTTCGTACAGCGACGACGGCTCCGAGTCGGGCCAGTACACGGACAGTATCCAGTAGTTGCCCAGCGCGAACCAACCGGCCAGGAACGCGGCCAGCCCGACGGACGCTATGCGCGACCCCATGGACGACACCATGTCCTCCCGCGTACTCATGTCCGGTCGACTGCGCTTGTTGTACCGCAGCGACTTGACCTGCCGGCACAGCAACCACACCATTTTGATCATGCCGAATATGCCGCCCACGATCATGTACACCGGTATGTGCGGTTCCCGTGGACAGTCCCGCACAAATTCCACGCCTGTAACATGCCAAAACCGACGACGAACGCCATCGTCGTCCGCCACATTTTAGTTATAATTATTATTATTATAAAATTACATTTTATGTCTACGGTTATTCGCTGGCCGGCCGCACTGTCGCAATATTCAATATTATAAGCCGTGGAGGTTAGGTTGTATAAAAATACAGCCTATTACTATTAATTTATTTTTCGACAAGTGACACGACACACTGTAAAAAAAATAATAATATTAACTAAAATAGCGAGGGGCATTCCCACCCCGGGCGCCAATCATGTATATATACCTCTCACATCGAGTGTGATGTGCATGTGTAAACTCGCGAGGTGTATCGTGCATGYCAGGGTGATTATCATATTCCTGAACAATCGATATTCCTTGACCCCACCTTTAGCGCCCACGCCTGTATATACGGCTCCAACTAAGTTCGGTTCGGTTGGTTTCGTTTGGGATGGGGATTAGGTCGAGCTAATCAATTCGTATGCAGCGGTTTTAGCTACGGGTAAAAAGGTGGATACCATTAGGACACGACTAAAATTATATTTGGCAGCGAGACAATCATGTAATATTTCATTTTTTTTTTTTCTTGTTGCTGTATCCGTCAGTACTATGTGATCCACAACCCCGAAGTAATATTAAAGAAATATTTATTTCGCCGAAAAACGGCGAGACTTTATAATAGTAGAAAATATCGCGTATCGCAAGACGATTTTTCGGCCAGTTTTTAACCACATGTCCATTCACGTGATTATTATAAACTATACTTATAGTCCAAGTAGCTACCTACTACCTATGCAGCTATGTGACAGTTGGTTGAGATAAAAATATCTTAAGAAAACACAAACTTTATATAAGCACCGAATTCAACTAATAAAATATGCAATATAATTTATTTATTATTAAGAACTTAATTTATAAAGGTATATTTTATATTCTATATAATAAACAATCTGTCTCTCAATAATAGCTCTCGTTCGAAACGGTATTTTAGAAAAATATTATTATGCTGTAATAATGAGCCTCGAATAGTATTTAATTATATAATTCGAAAAAAAATTTGGTTATCCAAGTTACTCAGATGAATGTAATTAATGTTCAAGAAGTTTTTATCAATTTTTATTATAAACATTTATTAGGTATCATGTATTTTCCGAATAGATTAATTAGATTAACTATATTTCTTATTTTATGACTTATGGTTACTGAAATAGGTACTAGGTAGGTATATGTTTTAAAGAGTTTCCTCAAATTATAGGTAATATGAAATAAATAATCTAAAAAAAAATAATTTTCGTTCTCTCAATAAACTGAGATTCAAAACATATAATTTCCAACATAATATTTCCTTTTTTTTCTAATATTGATACTACATTTAATATGTATATATTTTTCTAAGAATTAATACCATAAATGTAAACTTCAGCTTATTTTATCCCCCCACCCTCACAAACTGAAATAACTATGAATAATGTTGTTTGACTGCATACCTATGTTTGTTAACTCTTCTTGACTTCTTATTGGAATAAATTTGCGAATTTTAATATATGACAGAATAATAACAGTTAAAAATAAGTTTTCAAGGATCAGAAACATTTTATCAGTATTGTTCCAACAAGTTTTTATTAATATTCACTTTAGAACACACAATTTCTGAAAAACAAGAAATTGTATAATTAAATAAGGAATGTCTAACTCATTCATGATGTAGGGTTATTATTATCTTAATTTTTTTTTTTACGTTTTCTAGTAAGTAAGCCTATTAAAAATTTATGATATTATAACGAAAGATTAACGAATTAACACAATAAATGCAAAGACGAACATGAAAGAGTTGACAGTTCTTAATCATTATTTTATGAAACTCACGCTTGAAAACAATATTCAAAGAGTTATTCATCTATTCATCAATAGGTAACCTTTAAAGCACTAAATCATGACGTGATTTGTATTTGTATTTGTCATGTTTTAAAGCAGAAAAGTGTTTTGATCAAAATTTAATCTATAGTAAATATACAAATCTATTGATGTGTGAAATCAGTCATTTATGATACATTTTTCAATTGAAATCTACCACGTTAAGTATTAATATTTTGCAGTAAGCTGACCAGATAAATGAATTACTTAGCTTTAGTAAAAGTTAATATTATGTTGAGTCATGGGTATAAAATGTTTTCGCAAAACAGATTTTAATTGATTTTATCATTTTTAGAAACTATGTCTTACCTTTGTGAGTTTAAATTTTTAAAGTACTGAGATAAAAAACTCGTTTTTGTATATACAAAATGTATATTTTGTGATTTGATTTTGATTAAATGAAATAGCTTAGCACAGAGATATTCAAACGTTTTCATCCCGCGGCTCCTTTGGGTGTTYATAATATTTTGACGGCTCCCAAATTATTATGAAAAAATTGAAACAACACTGCACAATTACGATATGGCCAATATGTTATATGGGTGATATTAACAGTGACTTTAAGTAACAGTACTAGAAATAAAACTTCAAAAAATGGTCGCGTCGTAAGGTGTGTCGTTTTCATTTCCATAATGATTGCAACTAATATTTATAATAATTATACAAGATCTAGGTATGATGTTAGTTTTCGGTGCTTTGACACGGTTCCCTTTGCAAACTCTCGTGACGACTCTGGAAGTCGTGACCCACAGTTTGAATACCTCTGGTTTAGTATAATCTTTATAAACGTAAGTAGGTAAAATTTGTATTTAATATCACCAGGCATGATACTGCAGGCAAGAAAAATAACTGCGAAGTCAAAATTTAATTTAATGTTATTAAATAATTTGATTTTAATTAGTAGTAATGAATCTATGGTTTCTGAAAGATCAATAAATTTCTATGAAAAGACAAAAGTTGACTATTTTAATCTTTTTCGTTTGTTTGTTTGTTTTTTTTCTTATGTGACAACTAAAGCAAAAAAAAATTTTTAATGTATGTATCGATCTTACGCCATTTTATTTTTAGTCATGTTGATTTTTTATTTGTAAATTTAATATATTTTGTAATTTGTATTCATATGATTGAAAACAATGGCCAAAAATGTTATCAAAATAAAAATGTTTTAACCTATTATAAATTTGAGCTTCATAAATTATTTATTAAGAAATTAAATAGGTAAACATAATATAAAATCAGAAATAAATAATATGAATTTAAATAGCTAATTAATAAAAAAAAATATATAAACGAATAATGTTCATAATTTATCGTTATCATATATATTATATTATGTTTCATATACCAAGTGAAATTTTGATATACGTTTTAAAAATATAAAAAATTCACTCCATACTAATATCATCCGTAAAATATTTAAGTATAGAATTTCGAAGTTGACTAAATTGTGCAACTGTTCAACTTCTTTTTATACTTATTATAATATTCAGTTGATTATTATTTTTAGAAATAAATAAGTGGATACAGATTCGTATATAATATTTATACAAGTACTATACATAATGCAAAAATATTGTATAAGTAATGAAACTAGACTAAAAAATATCTATACCATGTGTTCACCAATTTAGAGAACACTGAATTTCTCGAATGGATTATGTTGGAATAAATATAATTTTTTTTACAATCTAGTGGTATATAAATACACATTTTCAGATAAATTTCAAAATTTTAATCCTCTCGGTACGCGCGCCAATTAACCATGGCTCTAAAACCAAAATTGACTGAGAGCCATTCAAATTTTAATAAATAATACATTTTTACTATTCATTATAAAATGCATAAAACCATTTATAATTATTTGTTATTGGTTACTTTTTGAATATTTTTACGTATACAGTTGTAGTCAATTTTAATTATATAATTTTATATCCATATTATGTTAATCTTATTTATAACAGGTATTAAAAAAAATATTCCAAAAGTAGCCAATAATAAATAATTATAAATGGTTTTAGGCATTTTATAATGAATTGTAAAAGTATATAATTTATTAAAATTTGAATGGCTCCCATTTAGTCAATTTTTGTTTTAGAGCCATGGTCAATTGGTCAAAACTCAAGACAACTTAAAAAAATTCATCTATCCGAGTTCGGTAACAAAAATACCAGTTTCAATACAAAAATAATAAGTTGCGTTGCGCATGTGCGTACTGAGAGGGTTAAACATTTTAAATTTATCTTAAAATGTGTATTTATATTTTTTATACCACTAGCTTGTAAAAAAAATTCGATTTATTCCAACATAATCCGGCTCAGAAATTCAGTGTTCCCTAAATTGGCAAACACACGGTATGCCTCTTTACATTATAGAAAAACTTACCAACGACGAACATAATTAATGGCACCACCGTGAAAATGGACAAGATAACCGTCATTATTACTGAAATCATAAAAATTATAAATCCATTATTATAATTGTGTAATCAAAAATTATAAAATTAAACGGTTAACAATAATACAATATTAATAACATAATTTAAAGAATTCTTTGTTAAAACTTTAAAAGTACTAATAAACCAACTAATAAGTTAAATATATCCATCATGTTAATCAACGCAATAAGTTTCGGAACTAACGTTATCTATTTAGTTAATTCTTAAGATATAATATATATTTCATTTTTACTGATGTTAATTTTTTGAATTTAAAAACCTATTATTATCAATGTTTTTTGAACTATATATATATATAAATTGTTACATTTATCTGGTAATTAATTCTATCAGATACATAAATACTAGACTTAATATTAAAGGATACTTTAATACGTTTACATATTTGTTATTTTTATTGTGTTAAGTATATAATATTACTTCAAAATACAATATAAAATTATATTCAAAAGAATGGAATTCCCCTCACAAACCGTATTTTTTATTTCAAAAAATATAATAAGACACAAATGGTAGATAGAGAATTATTTCTTCAAGAGGCTCACAAGTGATTTTTATTGTCGTCTGGTCCGGTGAATTCGTGGCTTAGTTGTTCGAAATCCTTTTCAGGTAAATTTACCAGGGAAACCAATAAAATACGACAGCTCACTGTGAGAATTGTAACATATAAAATATAATCTCGTGGGAACTATCTTTGTTAGTGCCAATTAATCTCGAGACGGGACAGATTTATAGGGAGATATTGAAATAATTGTTCAGATTATTATATAAAGTACATATACATAGGTATAGGTTAGGTAATATATATATATATATATATATATATATATATAGATAATACTTTTTTAGAAAACATTTTTTAAGACAATTACAACTTAATATTAATAATTAAATTATGATAATACAACATTTCTCAGATTCCGGTTCAACATCGGTGGGAGATTTTACGGTGCCAAGGGCAGTTTTTTGTTTCATGAGCCCTAGACATTTTTTTTTTGTAAAGAAAAAAAAATTTCCTTCGCATGTCTTAGTACTTAATTCTTATAGGTTAGATTATATAAAAACCCACAAGCCGCAACTGTAGACGGCAGGCAGGACTTGTATTTTCAACTTGAAAAACAAAATTATGAACTTACAAATTATCAAATGCCAATGTACAAGGCGCGAGGTCCCTAAAATGACGGGACCCTGTGCATTGGTTAGGTTATTTGTATTTGAACAGTATTTTCTCCTTTTGAATTGCACAATATTTATTAATCATTAAATTTAAAGCTCGAGTGTCGTAATGCACTGCACTTAAAAAACAAATTGTATTGTAGGTAGATGAATTCATGATATTTTTAATTTGTTAAGTGCCTAATGGAATTGCATATTTCACGAATTTATAAATTCCCAATTTACAATTAATTATTTATTTTTCACAAAAACGATAAAAGCCAATGTATAATATGTTAATGTTCGTTGATTGTTATATACTTAATCTGGCTAATCATTAATCATCATATAACATACAGTTATAATTTTATTAACCAGCTTTTATAATATTGAAATCCATAGTACATATCAATTATATGCTTTCATATAGCAATATCAAAATTAACATATTCTAAAAGTTTCTATAAGTAACTTATCCAATTTGTTATGCATTAAAGGTAATTTATTCTATAAAAAAAGTGTTTTGATAATAATTTAATGTCATTTATAATGAATAATACTTAAATAATATTACTAATATTAGTGTTATTGTTTTTTTAAGTATATAATATTGTTTATTGAAAATTATATTAAATCCAATAATTTGTTATAAATGTTATAATGATAACTAAAAACAAAAATGAATTTGTCAATTTATAGTATAACACTAACTAGAAGTGAAATATACATATATTATCATTTATTAGATCTTAACAAAAACAAACAGTAAAAATATACCAATAGATATAGGTATCCAATAAAGAATTTACCTTTATGTATTTAAATTTAGCAACTGAATCAAATTAAAATCAGATTGTATCCTACATAAATACAAAATAGACTATTATAGTTCTTAGAAGCAGGAGAGAAATATAAAAAACAAAATACTTTCTAATATTTGTATAATATGCGTAATATTGATTAGTTACTTTTGTTAACAACCATCGTAAAACTATAACTGAATTAATCCTAATAATCTAATATGCCAAGTACCAACTTATAATTTAATTTAAAATAAATACTGTTTTATATTATTATTTGTCTGTGGTATTATCATAACTATATAATATACTATGTTAATATTCTTGAAATAATAATTGATTAGTACCACTACAAATAATATACCATAGTCGAAAATATTTAATAATCATATTAACAGTTCAATCCGACCTACATTTGTGTCATTAGAATCAATACGTTTTATACATTTTTGAGTGCTTTATGCTTTTTTTAATCAACAGTCATAAAATACTGGTATAAAATAACAATTTGTAATACGCACTGTGAATATTTTCATTTACTAAAATAGTTATTTATAATATTGTTTACACCATGTAACAAGTTTACATGTCACTGACCGATAATTTGGGAAAAGTGTTATCATTTTTCAATCTCGTCAATATATTATATAGAATACATGGTAGATATAATAATGATATTTCAAAATTATAAAATTATAATAAATAATATTTGTAAAATATTATATTTTATAAATGAAAATAAACAAAAAAAATAAAAACATGAACGGTATAATATACAATTAGTAGCTATATTTTTTTAAATAAAAAATCGTACAACAATTTAATTTACAATATAATTTAAAATGAGGAATTAAGAAAAAGTGAACTTAAGCTGACTATAGCTTTAAAATAATATCAGCAAAATAAATTATATGCTATTTCATTTTATATAATATTCCACATTATGCTATCCATATTAGAACTTAAGACGTCAAAGCACCATGTGACTTAACAACATATCCAATAAACATTGTAATGTATTTATCTATTATATTATTAAACATTACAGGTCTTTATTTACTTTAAGAATCAAATTATATTTTCCTTAAATAAACATTAATAACAGAAGTAATATTTAGTCAATAATTTATGTTATTCCATTGTTACCACCATAATTTTTAATACGTTTTAAAAGAAACGCTACAGGTTATGTAAACATACAATATTTAATTTTTTATATCACATTCACCATAATTGAATTTAGGTACAATCGAGTAATTCATGATGTATGCATGTATGTAATTACTCGTATTTCAAAATACTTAAAGATATTGGTTTTATAGTGCTGTATTTTTCATTTTTCTAAGTAATCCTTTTTTAAAATATGTAATCACAAACTCATGAAGAAATTAATTGAACACATAATACGCAGGTACTTTAAAAGGTAATTTTGAAGTTATGTTTCATGTTTGTGTTGTTCTTATACAGTTGTACTAATTTAAAAGAGTSAATCATTTAGCCTAAACACAGTTATAAATTTATAATACAAGGTGATCCATTTAAGTATTTAAATTATTATTTAAAAAAGATTTGTATACCTATATATATATTCAAAGCATAATTTAATAATATAGTAAAACAATATTTAAAAAAAATTATAGATTGTAAAATATCTTATAGCTATTATTTTTAAGCATTTTACTTTTATGAACTTCATCATTTATTTTCAATTTTTTTTAAAAAAAAAAGAGCAGAATATTTTTCGGAATATCTTCAATAGGTATATGAAACTCGAATCTCAAACAAGTCACTGATGAAAAACAGCCACTAGGCGCGCGACGATTGCCGCTCACTTTTCGCTTTGCGTTAGTTAATTAGTTATAAATTATTAAGTATTTTAAGCTTGTATGAGCAGAGTAGTAGACCAACATTTTTAAAGATAATGTATCAATACTCCACTTATTATATCTTTTAATATTAATATAATTATATGGCATGTACAAAATTATATTTTATACATCGAAATAGTTCAAAAAATATTATTTTTCTGATGTTAATTTAAAAGATATATTGTTTACAATAACATAAAATTATGTAAAAATTGTATTTTCAAAAAAATTAAAGCTCATACAAATTATAAGTGCAACAGAAAATTTAAATGGATCACCACCTTTTATATAACACATTGATAATTCTTGTTTGGTACAATAATTAAATATTTAAATCTTATTTTACGCATGTTTTAAATCCGATTTTGTCATGTTTCTAAATCCTTCGAAAATATTCTGCTTCAAAATATGATAATTTATGCATTTTCATTTAAAGAAATTAGTACTTAAAAATACAAAGATGATAATAATAATAACGTTATTTTTAATGAATTAAAATTATGTATAAAAAAGCTTGGATATTATTGAAAATATTAATATATTTAAAAATGTCCCCTGTTAAAATGTTAAATAAATACCTTGTAGAGTTTCTTTCTGATATTTTAAGTGTAATAAAATAATCAGAATATAATATGATTTTTAATTTTTAACGTCGTATTAAAAATATATAATTAATAAAATATTAAGTTTTTTCGTAAAAAATTACATTTTAATTTATTGAGATAGGAAAAACAGTAATATATGTACTACTTAGATATTTTATTTGGAACTATTTGAAATTCTTTGAACTAGTTATTTGAAAATAATGAACCTTTAATTACTTTTGAAAATCATACATGCCCATAAAATATTTTAGTACTAGAGTAACACATGCATAATAAATTTTCATTATTATTATTTTATATTTATCATACACAAAGTGTAACCCAACTTAAAAATTACTAACTATATAATTTATTATTACTTAAACCAAATATTTGGCTATTACACGAGGGTAAGTAATGACTAATTATACCTATTCATAAAACTATTACCATAATATCTCATACACCAGAAATAAGCTTTTCAGTAGGTTTATAGTTTTACTTTTTATTATATATGTATTATAAATTAATAAAAATAATAAATGATATTTATAGAAAGCTTAGAAATATTAAATTAATTATTATCACCTGTCACATCAAATCACATTATCTAGGTAAGAAAGATATGATATTGATTTTTAATATTCATTACCTCAAATTAATTCCATTCACATATTTCATGATCTTATTTACTCGTCAATTTGTTTTACATATGTTAGGTAGTTTATATAATCGTTAACAAAAGTTTTTAATTAATTCTATTATTGTGTTAAATTTATATTTGAATTAAAATCTAATAACTGATTAGTGTATGTGATTATTCTATTTTTAGAATTTAAAGTATTTAAAACTTAAACTATTATTAACTAGAATAATAAAGTGTACTAAATTATAAATTATGAATTGTTTCTATACCTTATTTTGTTAGAATTAACTCTCCTCGCTAATTAATAATTATGTTCATATAATGTAACAATTAAAACTATAAGATAAATAAGAGCTAATTATAAATATAATACTTATATGCACATAATTATCTTTTAATCATTGTATGTTTCATAAAATGCGGTTCTCATTATAAATTTAAAATTTATTACTAAATATACATTAAACTAATATTTAAAATATTATATCAACTTTTATACACAAATGTTTGGTTAAGATTTTCTTATGAGTCTGTATAAATGAATAAGATAAGTATAAGATGCCAACAAGATGAATAATATTTATAAAATTAATTACTTACTACATTTTACAGTTTCCTAATTCAAAATATAAATTCAATTTGTTTTTTAATCGAACTGCCAGTTAATAAACAAATACATTAATGAATTTCCTATATGCGTGTATTTTTCCATTTCATTTTCAACGTATAACATTCATAGTAATATTAATCTAGGTAACTTATATAATAATATTTTCTTAAGACTTAAAAAGGCCGTATAATATGCCAATTAAAGAAATTTCGAATAACTAAAGCAGAATATTTCGGTATACCTAGTTTTGTATTAGCTATTGAACTTATAACTTATTCATTGTTAGGTATTATTATTGATATTTGATAATAATTGTACATTTTGAGAAATTATAATCCAAAGGTACAGTTATCAAAATTGACAACATTTAGTCATTTAGTTGTGCATGAGAAAAATCAATAAATTGATTGGCAGAATACGTCAAAAGTTCTATTTCCTAGTAAAACCTCCATTTAAAAATGATTAGTTAATTCAGAACGAACTTTTTCTATATATAAAAAATATACTTGAATAATCAAAAAGTAGTTATTCCAGTTCTATGTCAAAACAAACTACCTACTTCTATAAATTATTTCAAAATGTACTTATTTTTATTTTACGCCAAACGTACCTACTATCGCAATGTAGGGATATAAGAAATACATATTATAGTTGATACAAAACGTTTTAAAATGTAAATGTTAAAATAAGTTATTACTACAATGACTATGAAGTTTAAAATTAAACTAAAAATATAATCCAAGATGTTTGAACAGGTTTAAATAGTTTTAAATAAAAATTATATGTATTATTATTTTATTAAACAAATTAGTAAAAATACTTATACTTCAAAATAAAACTTAAAAATATTAATGATTTTAATAACGCTTAGAAATCAAAATTATAATTTTGGATTAAATTTTAATTGTTTTTCCAAAACCAACATAATGCATGATTACATTTTTTCTAAAATTTCTATCAGTCAATATTTTTGGCAATAGCCATTAGGTATGACTTTTTGAATTTCTTTACCTCATTTATGTTTATAGATAAGAATGAATTATTATTTATTACTGTTATGATGATTGAAAAAAAATAGCACTGAAAAAGTTATTAACACAATATTATCAAACCAAATGGTTGATCAGAAAATATCACGTCATAAAATGTATACTACTTTTGGTCTTTGATTATTATTCTACACAAGAAGCCTTGTCACGCAAACTACAAACTAAACGGTTCATGGAAGTTGTGAGTATTTTAACCCACTTTTCGATAACAACGTAAAACCACCAACAAAACAATCCAGTGTGTGGACAAACAAGCAGATTACCAGTGTGAGTGGTGTCTATGGAGTTCAACAGAAAACTCAAGCGAACATGCGAGGTTATGGGATTTGGTCAAATTTCATTTGAACGCTTTACTGGGAAAATGTTAGAAAGTTTGGGTACGTGTGTTTGGTAGATGAGACCTGTTGTGACAAACGTGATGGGAATGCAGGGTCATCAAAATTAATCTGAACTAAAAATAAAAATAATGGAGATGACAAACATAATTATAAAACTTACTAAAAATTATTTTCTTACAAATTTCGAGTTCATGTTGTTGAATAGACTTGAAGAGTTATTACTTTTATCGCTAGTGAATATGTAGTACAGCTTTTGTACCTACTCCTTATACCTCTAACAGTGTCTATAAGATGAAATCACCTAGAGAGTACTTTTCGATTTTTGTACATATATTGTCAGTCAGCAATTTTAAAACCGAGTAAAACAAAAGGACATTCGAGTTGCTTAAGTGTTGTAAGGTACTAAGTTTCAACAACTGGGTATTCTTGTATATTACAGGACAGATACCTAACTTTTTTAAACTCATTAAAAATTATTTATAAAATACAAACCTACTTGCATACTTTTTAAAAAGTGCATTTGGAATATTTCTTCAAAAACTAAATAATAATATTATTGAAATTCTTTTCGAGAACAATTTTTAAACGGTTAACAAATTTAACCGTCAATTCAACTATTCATATTTTTAAAAAACTAAAACCATATCCAAAAATAGCACAAATATTAGTATTCATATAATGAAAAATACAAATTATAAACAATAGTTTAAACAGTGTAATATAATATCTTAAAATTTAGAATAATGGCAAATAAAAAAAAAAAATGTAATAAAAATTAGACAGTTACTTATTATAGCTAATGCTTATGTAGTATTAAGTGACCAAGTTTTTTAAGATCAATTAAACAAATAATTATTAATAGGTATTGCACAAATCAATGACTCCTTAAACATATAGAAAATGTATTGACAAAAAATGTAAATTTATATTATGATCAAACTTAAATGAAATTATAAAACAGATTTGTGGAAATTACTTGAATTTAACACATTTACAAGATTAAATTAGAAAATTGCGAATGGCAATTTAGATAAGTTTCAATCAAGTGTTTTAGAACTTATTTGATTTTGATTTGAAATTTGTTATGAATATAATATTTTATTATTTCCACGTTAAATTATTAAACTTGAAATATAAATTTCTGAACTTAAATATAATATAATCTAGTAGTTTTTAAATTAAATATTTAAGCAAAAAGTTAATCTTATTATTTATTAATTTACATTTAAGTCCAATTTTTAACTAAGAAAATTAACAAAACCAATATAAAGTTTATAAACGTCATATTATATATTGACAATTTTTTATTGAATTATATAATGATATGATTTGATAGCACTAATTTAAAATTTCAGATCATACAAATTTAACTTTTCTATGATAATTTTTTTATAGGTTTTTAATTGATACTTTTACACTTTAAAAACTAATATACTTATTTTTTTTTTTCAATCAACTTTAGAATATTTAACATGATATGACTTAAAGTGTAAAAATTAAAATTAAAATTTAATACGCTTTAATTTAATTATACCATACATACAAAATTGAGATTTTCATGAATAAATTCAAGTTTTATGTAGGTATTTTTAATTGTATATAATTTCAGTTAACAGCAAAATTATTTAATCTATTTTCATTGTACACATTATCTAAATATAATGATACTAAATTAAATATTTATATTTAAAAAATCATGCTAAAAAGGCAAACAGTTATTAAATTAAAACTTGAAAGTAAATTATCAACAGACGACAGACGTTAAAATTTTATATAATATATTGATATGTTATTTATGATAAATGCAACGGATATAAAAGTAATTATTTCCGAAAAATTTAAATAAGGGATGTTGCATCACATTAACCCCTAATCTATTATATTACGTACAACTTTGAGTTTAAAAAATTCACAATCGCGCAGTTGATAGTGAAAACTCAAATGAATATAAATAGAGATTGTTTTACAAAGAAAAACCTAAGAGAATTTTTATGGTGAATTGGTTTATCTGGTATATGGAAATTATTTCTCAATAAAAATATTATTAATAATCAATCAAGAATTTTATTAAATACAATTTTCCACTGTTTGAATTTATGTTTAAGTGATATTCAAAATAGACACGTCATCAGTATGAGTATATAATTATATTATGCGTGATATATTTAATTCCGTTTTCTTCTTCTAAATACTTAGGTAATTCACCTATAAACCGTCTTATGCGTATTCCTAATGAAGACCCCAGTTTCAATTTTCCTTAAATACTGTTAAACTGGGTCTTTGTTAATACTATTTCAAATTCTATTAATTTTAGTTTTCGTTGATTAATTGTTTATTTATTATATTTGTAATTCATTCATTTAATTTACTATTTAATTACTATTATATTACTCTTTGTTTTGGGCTTAGGCCTGAACCTTAAAAAAAAAAATAAAAAAAAATATAAATATAAATCTTCGTTAAACTAACCATCTATCTCATGAATAATATTTCATTAATTCTAGTGGTGATCAATTTTGCAAAAACACCAACCATAGTGAAACCATAAATACATCTTGGATAGCACAATGCATTATACGATCAAAACTTTCAAAGTGTTTATAATTTATTAAATGATTTTATACAAATACACATTATTGTTGACAAAATGAGGTAAAATGGAATAATATTTTTTGTTCTGTACAACAATGCCGCCGAACTTAAACGACAATAATAATTTTAAGTATTCGCATTGATAACAAATAAACTATTATAATATTATAATATGTCCTACTGTCTACTAAAGTATTGCTGGTTTGTAAATTTATAAAACTCACCTGTTCTATGAATAATACTCAGTGCTTTTATGATAAAATCGAATATGCCTGTCGACTCCATATTGGCATGGTTCAATTGATATGTCAACGAACCATAGGCAGTTAGGCCACTGTCGCAAGGCTTAACATGCTCACACAATCGTTTCCTTTCGTCACCGGAAACCTGAAACACATCATGAAGTTTAGATAAACGTGATATCAGCACCTATCATATAAATAATAATAAACACGTTAAAATGTATTATTTGTATACATATTATGTAAAAGAATAATATTTCAATATGGTGTATTATGATTATCGAAAATATTAGTTCGATTTATAGTAAAACTAAAACTAATAATAAGTGTTATGTAATATCATTTATTTTTTATCCATAAATCAAAATTGAAATATTTTTCTTGAAAACATCATAATATTTTCTCCTATTATTTAAATATTGTTATTTTTTATATTTAACCATTTAATAACTTTAATCTTATAACATTAAATTTAAAAAAAATGTATGTATAAGAATACCAAGGAGTTACACAAAAAATACCATATTATAATTTGAAACTCTGGTTAAAGTATTATACAAATTATTTCTCGCCATTCCACCATAATACGGATGATATAATAATTTGAAAATGTGGAAATCGAAAAAAGTAGAGATCATAAAACAAATTAACTACGCTTCCTGGCTCGTGTACGTGGTTTGTGAGTTTAATAATAGCGCATATTAACTAATAATATTATTCAGATGTTATATTAATTGTAATTTTAAAGCGTTTATGCTATACACTTTATCGTCTACTCTCGTGACTTAAATTTAAAGCTTTGAAAAAGGTACCTAACTTATCAAAACATCATTAAGTACGAATTATTGTTCATAATTATTGCTCATCTGATGTGTACTTTTGTGCCAATTATGATAGTGAACCAGAATTTAATAAAGCTTTAAGTTTTTTATTTTAATAGTCTACAAAAGTTATTTTTAAAATAATTATAGAAAGATGTAAAAATTGCTACAATTTTTGAAATAAGTCTTAGAGAAACTGTTAAACTGATAATGACTATAGGTATAGAAAAACTGAATGTGACAATTTATTTACAATGATTAATAATTTACTCAGTAGTCAAAAGTCATAGAAAATAAGTTTCTAAACAACATTTAAGGTTAATGACATTTTACGGTGACATTAAACGATCGTTTAAAAAACATTACCTATTTCTTTACTAAAAAAAAAAATTAARCTGGAGAAAAAGATAAATTCATTTTTTGAAAATAATTGTAATATTCAGAGTGAAAATGATATTTTTTAATACACTTATACCTTAAATTTTACGTAATTAATCGTTTTAGAAGCTTTAAGAAAATATATAATAGATAAAATATTATGTCGTCAGCCATAATGCATAAACCATTAATTATTATATTAAAATGATCATAAATCAACTTTGAAAGGTTACAGTTAGGTAAATATAGATAACTACATTAATATGTATTTACAAAATATAATATAACATGTATATTGTATATATAGGCAGATAGATACTACTTATATACTAACATACTTCATATAATATTATACTAATATTAAATATTTTATTTTCATTAAATTAACGATCCATACAATACAAAGTACCATCGTGAAAATATCATTACCAAATGTAAGTATGACATTTAAAATATTTGTTAAGTGAAAAATAGTGACATATTAGGTATACATATTTTATGCTATATTATTTTATCAAAGTAGGATTCTATTTAATTTAAAATAAATTAATGCAATTTATATGTATACCTACTATGCCTTATGTATATATAATTTATCAAGTTTTTATTTTCATGTACGTATTTACTAAATAACTATTAGACATAGACATTATTAAATTATTACGTTAAACTTTAATTTAAATTTAAAAAAAGCTACTTTTATTAAAAAAAAAAAAAACATTAAAATTGAGATAAAGTAACTGGAGTTCTTACTTGACTAACGCTACTACTAGCTCTTCTTGATTCGTCGGGAAAAATCTGTTTTTGTGTATATTGTGAGTTCTTATACGGTGACGAACTTTTTTGAGTGTCTTTAAGTGTTCCTTTTGGAGATCCATTTCCTAAAAATAAAACCAACATTAGAGCTATGTTATAGATTTATCAATCGATGCGTAAAAACTCAGTTAGGTTAATTTTATTTTTATAAACTAATTTAAGTAATTAGTAAAATACTTTGAAGTTATAAAACAAAACTAACTAAGATCGTATCTATACTAAATATTAATATAATATACTCGTATATTCATTCATATCAATAATTAACTTAAAATTGAACAAGCAATATCAATTACAAATTATTTTATAATCGATATGATTATTCTAGATAAAATATAATTTAAGAGTTTGAGCAGAGTAGTTAATATTGTAAACAAAATATGTAAATAACACAGTTTTTTTATAAACGTTTTAAGTTCAGATTTAGACAAAATTAGATATTTATGAATAACGATGTTAGTTATTTCGTTGTAATTTAAAGACATTATTCGTAAGAACTTATAAAATTATAATTTTTACTATACATATACAATGAAATATCCAAAATATTTAGATTAACTTTAAGCTACTACCTAATTATGCCATTAACTTCTCCGCACTGTATTACGGTAAATGTTGGTTTGATGAATTTTTTTAACGGAAATGTTATATAATTATTATTTATTAGATAATGTAATATGCTGTTATTATAATTAAATATTAATTTGTATAATATGTGCAATATTTTTAGCAAAATCTAAAACAACCCTTGTAACACTAATATTGAAATATTAAATAAGTGTTACTTTAATGGCAATATCAAAAACATATCATGGAATATACTTGACGTCAACTGACAGACCATCACCACTCAGAATCGTTTTTCGAATAGGTACAATGATACTGGATTATGTTCATATTTAATACAATTAACATATCCATAAATCCGTTACAGTGACCCATTCAACACTTATACGGTAGATCAGACCAATACCCAATTATGTTGGTATACATATATAATAGTATATATAACTTTTATTTTTAACAGTAGAATAGGTAGTTTATTAGAAATTTTTAATTTTAACTTTATTTTTTATGCATTTTATTTTAGCTGTTCATTTATGAAAGTTGATCTTTTGTATACACATTTTGTTGATTACTAATCAATATAATCAATAAATAAGAATAATTATATATCTTGGTTTAGGTTTCTTTGAGGAGCAAATATTTTCTTAACCTACTTTTGAGGCACCCTTATAAGTTTTTTGAAATTGAAGCATTCCTACTACTCTTAAAGGTGGTGAAACTATGACAGACACAAAAATAAGTCATTGAAAATCAATAAATTCTTCACTCAGAATCGAAAATATAATGACCAAATAACAATATTGTATTTTTAATTAATTTAAAATGACATCTCTTTAATTCCAAATTGTTTAATAAATATAAATCTTATTTGACTATTTCAAACACCACAAGTATACAATTATGAAATTCGAATAATTCTAAAATATAAAACTAAATCTTCAGACTGTATTTAATAAAACTACTTACAAAAATAATATTGATCTGTAATTAGTTTTGCTGGGCATCCTAAAAATTCTAAAACCCACAGTGTTGCGCCCTACATACAAGTTAGTCACGCAATATTCCGGTGGCCTTTTTAAGTTAGTTTTAGCATTATTTATATAAAGAAATATATTAAGTTACTTTTTGAGTGGTCAACCCACAATGTCATTTTTAAAATGACGTATTAATAAATTATTCAAATATTACACGATAGTTACAATTTTCATTTTTGCTTTAATCATAATATTATTTTTGGTCAAGAATAACTGAATAAATATACCTTCATTAGATTATGAGCCATTTTAATATTATAATAATATTTTCTATAGAGCATTTTTATATTATAACAAAGCTATTAGTTTACAATTTATTAACACAGTTTTAAAAAAGTAAAAAATAATCAATTTCAAATTTAAATATAGTTAACTATTGATTAGCGATTACTCATAATATTTATTATAATTTATAACTATCATTATGGTTTTTAATAAATTACCATTGTTTGTTTATCAACTTATAATTAATAGATTGGCTTAGATTTTAAATTGGCATACAAATGTCTTGATAATAAAGTATAGAAATAGTGTGAAATACATATTTTATATAATAAATTTACAGTTTACACATTCGATTTACATGATACGATTTAAATTAACTTATATATTAATAATATTATATTGTACAAATAAAGGAAATAAGTATTTTGTTGCTCGAGATATTTCGAAAATTAATATCAATACCTACCTAATTTAATTAATATATTTAATATTTAATTTGACTATCTAATTTGTTATACAGTAGGTACAACATAAAATATGTAGGTACCTATGTTGAGACAATTGAAACTAATTAAGTATTAAAATAGTATACAGTATTAAAATCTGCAATTACAAATAGTTAATACAAAAGGTAAAACATTAAGTTCTTGGTCATTGTTTTATTTTTTTGTTTTAACTATGGACACAGAAACAAGCGATGACAGGGACACAAATACACAATCCAGTAAACATTGACAAATAACAATAAAGTTTGAACATCTATACATAAAATGAAAATGAAAAACAATAAACTCTCAATTTGTATTTATACCTGTAAATAACAGTTTTGGTTAAATAATGAGTAATCTTAAATGTAAATGTTTCAAAATATTCTATTATTGAAAATTTGATGAAATATTATATTGAATTCAGRTTGTTTATACCTTATTTCAAACAATAATCATTATTTTAAATTATGAGAGCATATCAATGAATGTATTACAGTGTTTTACAATGATGTGTTTTTTCGTCTGTCTTCAATTTTTAAAATATTAAAAATGCTCAGAGTTTTGAATACAGCATATTTTCTGATAAAATATTAATTTAGCGTGTGGATTCGGTAAATTAAAATAATAAATTCTCGACAGTTTTTGAAAGCGACGTGAAAAAAAATAAGAAGAAGAAAATAAGAAAAAATGGTTATTTGCACGAGATCCCAATTTTTTACAAAATCAATCTTATGTTTTTGTAGTAATTCAAAATCTAATAATCGTACCTACATACTTTGATTTATGTATAGCAGTTTTTTTCACATTGCTTAGTACAAGACCATAACTTACCTATTCGTTTTTTTCTCATTTAAAAAACTCAATATGACATCAGTGACAACTTCATCACCCCAATGAATGTTAAACACCTTATAACTCACCTTTAMAATCTCCAAATTGAAAAACATACAAACAAAATATCCATATCACAAAATTGATTATCGTTATTCATAAAATGTGTTGATTAGACTGAAGAAATACTCGTATATCAAGAAATAGAACCCATTAAAGTTCTTGTCAATTACCACCAACATAAATTATGATTTTCATTCAAAAGAAATTTGTGTCCATGTTATATTAACAAAAATAATAACTTATTTCCTAAGTACCTAATGATCTTCAAGAAATTTCACTAGCCGTTCCCTTCTATAGTTCTATCATATCACCACATATCCATAAATTGTAAATTTACTAATGTCTACTAATATATTAATTTCTTATTGTACGTATAACGCAGATGGTCATTTTTTTTCTATTTATAATTAAAAATATACATGTTTAGACGCCTAGAATATCGAATTATTTAAGTACCTTTAGTACCTACAATATACATAGGTATTATGTTATTTTTTCAATCAGAAATTTTATGTAAATACTTATAGGTAGTGTGTTAAAAATAACTATTTGATAATTGTATTAAAACATTTTTAATTAAATTATAAACTTTTAATTTATAAATTAAAATTACTTTTAAATTATTTATTAAAAACGAATATACTAGACTTATTTTATTATCTCAACATTTTCAACTTCTATATAATATTTAAAAATGCGTTAATGCCATTATATGATCTACTTTATAACAGAATATTTGCTAACAAGTTGTTTGAATTCAGTAAATTTAGGTACATAAATTAATTACAGCATGGTATAAATTTTATTACATTAGGTATTGCAATAAGTTCTTGAATATTTAAATAAAATAAACGAAGTCATTTTTATTTTGAATGACATTCATTAATAATTTTAGACGTCGTTAGTCTTTGTGGAAATGTGTAAATGTAAACTTTAACATATTTATTATTATACTCAAAATCTAAATTGGAATTAAGTATAATATGACGTATAAACATGGAAATACAAAAAGAAAAATAAGCATCCAAAAGTTCATTTAAGCAACACGATAATTTAATTAAAAATATTTTTCTTTATGTAGAAAAGAATAAAATATTGTTCTAACAAAAGTCATCATTAAATATATATATATATAATATATATACAATGTTTAGAAAAATATTCTACTGAAAAAAAATATAAAAACCTCATTAAACATATTATCCTGGTAACGTGGATTTGTTGSCACAAAAAATATTCTTACATAATAAATAACAATTGACTATAAATGTTAGTGACGAAATTATTGTAAACTCAATATTTTATTAAATGATAGGTCAAAATTCAATTTTCGTGGTTAACTTTAATTTTTTTGATGTCGAAAAATAGTTATTGTTTTAATCTTATGATTACATTAATTTTTTCACACAGTTTTAAGAAGTATAGTTTCTATCTGATTAAATCATTACATGAAGTAATTTCGTATTACTGTAGTTTTTTTTTCAACGACATAGCGATGTAATTTCCGTCAGTAAAAAATAGTGAATCCACTTTAATCAAATAATATAAATAAACTAGTTGTTGTATAATTAAATTAGTTCAGTCAAGCAACTGGAATGAATAAATTACGGCTTTGAAGTATTCGAACTGAATGATATAATACGAAAAATATTTTTTTACAAATCAATCCGTTTTTGGATTAACGGAGATCGCGATAGGCGTTATGCTTAAAACAACACAATCCACACTGAATAATTTATTAAAAATTTATAAATTCCACTAATATAATATTTTGCAGTGTGCCAGTGTTCCACAAAAAATATTCATAAATTTGTATTGTAACAGTCATAATATATGTTCAAAATGTCTGCCTTTGTA